ATATAATACATTGTATCCCTGTGGACGCAATTACACTTATAGTGATCTCAGTTATCATTACTGTACAGCTACACATATTGTCCACATTGACAAGACGTGGTGATCTCAAATAGAACAGCTAGCGACATCCAAAACATTGTGTGTCCACATTGACAAGACAAGACATATTGATGTTGTAGTATAACTTTATTCATTGGTGTGTTTAGTCTCCATTGGGGTTTTAGGATTCCCAGAAGTCAGTGTTGTAAATAACACCCTCTTCCTGATGCTCCTCTCGCCAAGGCTATGTCATATATGGCAAAGTTCAAAGGTCACAGACAGAAAACATTGGAAACGTCAACATAAACAACAGACAATGTATAGGTCACAGACGGAATCATAAACAAACAACCAGTAGACGGTTCAGTCTGGAGTTATCTTTTACAATGAATCTCACTTCCCGTCACACGAACGCAAAAAAAATGAAATATCTCGAAAAGGCTAAAAAAGGGAGACGGGAGGAGAGTCCTCCCGTACCTGGAGATGGTTCCAGGAACTATCAATCAGGGACACATATTAAGGAGCCAACCATGTGGAGAAACAGACCACTAACTAAATTACTGCTGATTGAATCTGCCACTGTCTGAGAGCCTCCTTGAGTCACAAGGACAATTGATTCGCGGCATTGGATTCATGTTTTCAAGCTGCGTCCCAAAATGGCACCCTATTCCCTATGTCGTGCACTACTTTTGACCAGAGCCCCTATGGGCCCTTGTTAAAAGTAGTGCACTGTATAGGGAATAGGGTGCCATTTGGGACACAAGCGCAGATGTTCAGCAGGCGGTGGTGCATCGTTAACCCCTGCCTCTCTTACTTTGCCTTCATTAGTCAGCTGCCTATTGGGTTCTAATGATTGATGTGTTTGCATTGGCAGGTTTTAGTTTTTTAACAGCCCTATTGACCCGACGTGTCTGATTGAGTGATACATTGAATTGCTCCTTGGAGAAAAGGCTTTTAGATTTTGTAATACCAGTAATCTATTTTGAGGTCTTTCATGATAAAACACACACACTGTATCTCATCATCTTTCTTGCTACCTTAGAAATACATTTAAAATCAGATGTATGTTTTAATCTGGGATATTCTACGTGGAAGTACCAGCACCTTTCAATGTCCGTGACAAATTTTCCCCTAGGGAGCAATAAAAAAAAATCCCAATCCTATTTCTAAAAATATTTATTTGTCATCTACTCAGTTCTTTGTGTTGGACCTAGTGGTAAAAGAGAAAAAGCTGAAAGAAATGGACATCTTAACCCAGTTGGAGAAGATAGTGAAGATGGCGGAGAACACAGAGGAGAGACAGCCTCCGATTGGTCTGCTGACGTCTGATGGAAGAACAGAATGGGCCCAGGCTAGAGACGTGCTCATCAAAGGTTTCACTTCTGACATCTTACTGTCTACATTATATCATAACTATAATAATAACGCAAATATCAAATAATAATTTAAAGTAATAATTCGAAATATACCATGGGAAGACTATCAAAATATACCATGGGAAGACTATCAAAATATACCATGGGAAGACTATCAAAATATACCATGGGAAGACTATCAAAATATACCATGGGAAGACTATCAAAATATACCATGGGAAGACTATCAAAATATACCATGGGAAAGACTATCAAAAATATACCATGGGAAGACTATCAAAATAAACCATGGGAAAGACTATCAAAATATACCATGGGAAGACTATCAAAATATACCATGGAAGACTATCAAAATATACCATGGGAAGCATCAAAATATACAGGAGCTATCAAAATAAACCATGGGAAGACTATCAAAATAAACCATGGGAAGACTATCAAAATATACCATGGGAAGACTATCAAAATATACCATGGGAAGACTATCAAAATAAACCATGGGAAGACTATCAAAATATACCATGGGAAGACTATCAAAATAAACCATGGGAAGACTATCAAAATATACCATGGGAAGACTATCAAAAAACCATGGGAAGACTATCAAAATATACCATGGGAAGACTATCAAAATATACCATGGGAAGACTATCAAAATATACCATGGGAAGACTATCAAAATAAACCATGGGAAGACTATCAAAATATACCATGGGAAGACTATCAAAATAAACCATGGGAAGACTATCAAAATATACCATGGGAAGACTATGAAAACAAATCTATTTGGCATAAACGAAACTAGTCTGGACCGCGAATCGACCAAATGATACAAACAGAAAGACAAAAAACGACAGAAAAAAAGAAAGAAAGACAAAAAGCCAATAGGACCAAAGAAAGAAGACCATCCTACCTCCCTCCCTCCATCACCTCCCTCACTCCCTCACCTCACTCCCTCCCTCCCTCCCTCCCCTAGATTCAGTTAACAGAGAGTCGTTGGCTGTGATCGAGAAGTGTCTGTGTGTGGTGTGTCTGGACGATCCCAGTGGGATGGAGGTTGGGGACACCAGCCGGGCCCTGCTGATGCTCCATGGAGGAGGCCATGAGAAGATGGGGGCAAACCGCTGGTATGACAAGCCAATGCAGGTAACCCTGGGCCCTTATTACGTCAACTGTCTCAGAGTAGGAGCGATGATCTAGGATCAGTTTAGCCGTTTTAGATAATAAAGAATAAGATAATACGGAAAGGGGTTGACCTGGTCCTAGATCCGCACTCTGAGATGCTTTACGAATACAGGTCCTGAGCCCATGGAATGGAAAGGGATGTTTGTTTCAGTTTGTTGTAGGGGAGGACGGAGTCTGCGGAACGGTGTGCGAGCACTCACCCTTCGAGGGAATAGTTCTGGTGGCGTGTACTGAATACTTGATGAAATTCATGTAAGCAAACTAGCCAAACTAAGTGACATGTATGTGTCCATATGGATAGAGTTACATCTGAAAATGTGTAGTTGACAACTGGTGTCCTCCAAGGTTCTATTCTAGGTCCTGTGCTTTTACATCTGAGAGTTCATACTTACTCACCAGACACGCAAAGTACTTCATTACAATATAGTTACATTAAATCTTAAATCAGATATTTTGCATTTACGCATGAGACACGTAGTGTAGTTCAGGTTCACAGCTAATATATTATTAGAGGTCAGTAATAAAACATCTAATATATTATTAGAGGTCAGTAATAAAACAGTAAATATATTATTAGAGGTCAGTAATAAAACATCTAATATATTATTAGAGGTCAGTAATAAAATATCTAATATATTATTAGAGGTCAGTAATAAAACAGTAAATATATTATTAGAGGTCAGTAATAAAACTGTAAATATATTATTAGAGGTCAGTAATAAAACATCTAATATATTATTAGAGGTCAGTAATAAAACATCTAATATATTATTAGAGGTCAGTAATAAAACATCTAATATATTATTAGAGGTCAGTAATAAAACATCTAATATATTATTAGAGGTCAGTAATAAAACATCTAATATATTATTGGAGGTCAGTAATAAAACATCTAATATATTATTAGAGGTCAGTAATAAAACATCTAATATATTATTAGAGGTCAGTAATAAAACATCTAATATATTATTAGAGGTCAGTAATAAAACATCTAATATATTATTAGAGGTCAGTAATAAAACATCTAATATATTATTAGAGGTCAGTAATAAAACATCTAATATATTATTAGAGGTCAGTAATAAAACATCTAATATATTATTAGAGATCAGTAATAAAACATCTAATATATTATTAGAGGTCAGTAATAAAACATCTAATATATTATTAGAGGTCAGTAATAAAACATCTAATATATTATTAGAGGTCAGTAATAAAACATCTAATATATTATTAGAGGTCAGTAATAAAAACATCTAATATATTATTAGAGGTCAGTAATAAAACATCTAATATATTATTAGAGGTCAGTAATAAAACATCTAATATATTATTAGAGATCAGTAATAAAACATCTAATATATTATTAGAGGTCAGTAATAAAACATCTAATATATTATTAGAGGTCAGTAATAAAACATCTAATATATTATTAGAGGTCAGTAATAAAACAGTAAATATATTATTAGAGGTCAGTAATAAAACATCTAATATATTATTAGAGGTCAGTAATAAAACATCTAATATATTATTAGAGGTCAGTAATAAAACATCTAATATATTATTAGAGGTCAGTAATAAAACATCTAATATATTATTAGAGGTCAGTAATTAAAGCAACATGATGTTGATGAATAATACATGATAATAAATAATAATGCATGAATCTAAGGAAGTCATGTGATCGTGCTCTCGCCACAGGACAGGAAGTCCCTCCAAGATGGGGAGGGCCACCAGCGTGTCGGAGCTTCCTACTCCTGGCAGACTGCTCTGGAAGACCACACCCCACATCCAGGGCCTCCTGAAGGCCTCTGCTGGGAGACTGCAGAGGCAAGACACACACACAAACACACACACACACACACACACACACACACACACACACACACACACACACACACACACACACACACACACACACACACACACACACACACACACACACACACACACACACACACACACACACACATTAAAGGCCCAGTGCAGTCAAAAACGTGATTTTCCTGTGTTTTCTATATATTTCCACACTATGAGGTGTAAGAGCTGTTTGAAAAGACCGCCTTAAATATCAGCCTGTTTTGGTGGGATGGAGTTCTGGCCTGCCTGGTGACATCACCAGGCACTAAATTCGTTAATAGACCAATAAGAAAGAGAGTTCCAAACCTCTCTGCCAATAACAGCTAGTTCTTTTTCATATTTTTGACCGTTTTTAATTAAAAACAATCACAGTAAGGTACTTAATTGTTGCCCAGAAATGATTTGATATTGAGATAATAACGTCTGCATTAGACCTTTAACATATGTTGATGTTTCCTTCTCCTCAGGTTGGTTAGAGATCTTGACATGGATGTACACAAGTTTGAGGTCTATGGAAAAGAATTCATCAAGAAACAGAAGATGAGCCCAGATGCTTACATACAGGTGGCTCTGCAACTGGCGTTCTACAGGTAAGAAACACCTGTAAGAGCTTAATCTAAAAGGACATGTGGTTGGTTGTTTTAATACTGTATCAGCACACTATTCATTTTATTACATTGTTTGCTACTTATTGACAGTCATTTTTAAAATAACAAAAACCTAAAGAAACTATTTTTTGTTGTTCACACGAAAAGTGAATTATGAAGTGCCTCCATTGATATCTTTTTGCTTTGTGATTTCTCAGATGCAATGGACGGCTGGTGTCCACTTATGAGAGTGCGTCTATCCGTCGTTTCCACGAGGGGCGGGTGGACAACATCCGCTCAGCTACCCCCGAGGCTCTGGCCTTCGTGAAGGCCATGACGGACAAGAAGGCCTCTCTCTCTGTGAGTCATTTTTCTTACTTAGCCCCCCCCCCCATTATGGGCTTCTCCCATAATGCTGTTCATCATGTCTTCTCCCATAATGCTGTTCATCATGTCCTCTTCTCCCATAATGCTGTTCATCATGTCCTCTTCTCCCATAATGCTGTTCATCATGTCCTCTTCTCCCATAATGCTGTTCATCATGTCCTCTTCTCCCATAATGCTGTTCATCATGTCCTCTTCTCCCATAATGCTGTTCATCATGTCCTCTTCTCCCATAATGCTGTTCATCATGTCTTCTCCCATAATGCTGTTCATCATGTCTTCTCCCATAATGCTGTTCATCATGTCTTCTCCCATAATGCTGTTCATCATGTCCTCTTCTGCCATAATGTTGTTCATCATGTCCTCTCCCATAATGCTGTTCATCATGTCTTCTCCCATAATGCTGTTCATCATGTCTTCTCCCATAATGCTGTTCATCATGTCTTCTCCCATAATGCTGTTCATCATGTCTTCTCCCATAATGCTGTTCATCATGTCTTCTCCCATAATGCTGTTCATCATGTCCACTTACAGATTTTTTTTAGCGCTTTGGTGCAATTTTCACAACTCTTAGTACAAAACTCAAAACAGATCATCGAAATGGCAGTTGTTTCAAAACCCTAAGCACATTTCCAATTGACTAAGTACAACACACAAAATCATAGTGACTTTTTCACCAAACTTAATCAGTGTTTCATCTAGAAATACATGTTCATATAAAGTAACTGCCTTTCACAATGCAATGCTCACATTACTTTTGATATGATTTTATTCTCTTGTTAAAATACATTTGACTATTATTTAATCCGACTGCTCTTAATTGATGATCACTTAAACGTTTGGTAAACCTATAGATTTGACATGTCAACTGGTTCGTCTACTATAGATATTGAGGACTACATGAAAATGTGTATGTAAAGTAGAAACATACAGAGTATGATATACTCAAATGTACTACTATAAAGATGACTATTAGGATTTCATTTCACAGTAAGTTAAAAAAAAAAAATCTGATATTGACAAGATCAGAGATGTACTGTGTGTATCAAATCAAATCCAAGTTTATTGGTCGCGTACACAGATTAGCAGATGGTACAACAGGTGCAGTGAAACGCTTGCGTTTCTAGCTCCTACACTGCATTAATACAATATCAATACAATATCAATACATAAATAATCCAGAAAGTCCAAAACAAGAAAGAAATGCATCCCCATTCACACTAAACATGTATCCAAAAGGAAGTTGCTGTGGTATTTTTTTGTAATACCGTAATATATTCCATTTACATACAGTAGCAGACACTTTCATCCAAAGTGACAACAGTCCACACATTTTGGTATGTGACCCCAGTGGGAATTGAACCCACAACTCTGGTGTTGCTAGTGCCATGCTCTTAGGAACTGAGCCACGTAATAATAATATGCCATTTAGCAGACGCTTTTATCCAAAGCAACTTACAGTCATGCGTGCATACATTTTGTTTTGTTTTTGTGTATGGGTGGTCCCGGGGATCGAACCCACTACCTTGGCGTTACAAGCGCCGTGCTCTACCAGCTGAGCTACAGAGGACCACGTACAGGACCACTACGACACATAGGTACAATACAATACTGTAAAATACAATACACGATTACAATACAGGATGGAAGATGTATGATTGTCATCCCCGTGAGCGTACCACCCTCCTCCAGGCCATGGATGAAGCGTGCAATGATTTCACTCCAGACCTACAGGAAGTCAGGCTTGGATTCGCCATGCCAAGAGGTTTTTCCCCAAGGTGCATCAACAATGAGGACATTAACTGCGATTTCTATGAGAACCTGTGACCAAGTGCCAGGCTTGATGCAAACTAGTGCCTGCTAAACATGATGTTTCTTTCATTTGATTACCTTGTGAAAGGTGTCTTCAATGATCATTTCATCACACATAGAAATGATGTTCAGTCAATTTTAATGGGTAGTTCAAGTGTATTGCCTAATGTGAAAACAGTGTAATGGACTGTAATAATAATATGCCATTTTAGCAGACGCTTTTATCCAAAGCGACTTACAGTCATGCGTGCATACATTTTTACGTATGGGTGGTCCCGGGGATCGAACCCACTACCTTGGCGTTACAAGCGCCATGCTCTACCAGCTGAGCTACAGAGGACCACGTATACTACATTCGAGGGGCAATTTTGAAACATGTATCTTCAATTTTTTGCTATTGGATTGACTGGTTGTTAAACTAGCTACGTTGAGAAGATATGTATCATTATGCTGTGTTTTGGTGATTAAACCAATGTACTCATTATATTTCACAGTGAACTTATATTTTGGATGAGTGGTTGTGTGGTGAGGGATGTCTACAAACAAAATGAATGCACAATGAATGGTTTAAAATGGAGGACTGGCCGCGTTGAGAAAATTCATCACACCCCTTCAAATGAGGTGATTTGGCTATTTAAGCCACACCCGTTGCTGACAGGTGTATACAATCGAGCACACAGCCATCCAATCTCCATAGACAAACATTGGCAGTAGAATGGCCCTTACTGAAGAGCTCAGTGACTTTCAACGTGGCATCGTCATAGGATGCCACCTTTCCAATAGGTCAGTTCGTCAAATTTCTGCCCTGCTAGAGCTGCCCCGGTCAACTGTAAGTGCTGTTATTGTGAAGTGGAAACGTCTAGGAGCAACAAACGGCTCAGCCGCGACGTGGTAGGCCACACAAGCTCACAGAACGGGACCGCCGAGTGCATGAACGGGACCGCCGAGTGCTGAAGCACGTAGCGCGTAAATCGCCTATCCTCGATTGCATCACACACTACCGAGTTCCAAACTGCCTCTGGAAGCAACGTCAAAACACAAGAACTGTTCATCGGGAGCTTCATGAAATGGGTTTCCGTGGCCGAACAGCTGCACACAAGCCTAAGATCACCATGCCCAATGCCAACCGTCGGCTGGGTGGGGTAAAGCTCTCCGTCATTGGACTCTGGAGCAGTGGAAACGCGTTCTCTGGAGTGATGAATCACGCTTCACCATCTGGCAGTCCGACGGACGAATCTGGGTTTGGCGGATGCCAGTAGAACGCTACCTGCCCCAATGCATAGTGCCAACTGTAAAGTTTGGTGAAGGAGAAATAATGGTCTGGGGCTGTTTTTCATGGTTAGGGCCCCTTTGTTCCAGTGAAGGGAATTCTTAACGCTACAGCATACAATGACATTCTAGACGATTCTGTGCTTCCAACTTTGTGGCAACAGTTTGGGGAAGGCCCTTTCCTGTTTCAGCATGACAATGCCCCCGTGCACAAAGCGAGGTCCATACAGAAATGGATTGTCAAGATTGGTGTGGAGGAACTTGACTGGCCTGCACAGAGCCCTGACCTCAACCCCATCGAACACCTTTGGGATGAATTGGAACGCCGACTGCGAGCCAGGCCTAATCGCCCAACATGAGTTCCCGACCTCACTAGTGCTCCTGTGGCTGAATGGATGCAAGTCCCCACAGCAATGTTCCAACATCTAGTGGAAAGCCTTCCCAGAAGAGTGGAGGGTGTTATAGAAGCAAAGGGGGGATCAACTCCATGTTAATGCCCAGTGGTGGAAAAAGTACCCAATTGTAATACTTGAGTAAAGGTGTCGATACCTTAATAGAAAGTTACTCAAGTAAAAGTGAAAGTCACCCAGTAAAATTCTACTTGAGTAAAAGTCTAAAAGTATTTAGTTCTAAATATACTTAAGTATCAAAAGTAAATGTAATTGCTAAAATATACTTAAGTATCAAAAGTAAAAGTAAAAGTATAAATCCTTTCAAATTCCTTATATTAAGCAAAGCAGATGGCACAATTTTATTGTTTTGAACATTTACAGATAGTCAGGGGCACACTCCAACACTCAGACATCATTTACAAATGATGCATTTGTGTTTAGTGAATCCGCCAAACCATAGCCAGTAGGGATGACCAGGGATGTTCTCTTGATAAGTGCGTGAATTGGACCATTTTCCTGTCCTGCTAAGCATTCAAAATGTAACGAGTACTTTTGGGTGTCAAGGAAAATGTATGGAGTAAAAAGTACATTATTTTCATCAGGAATGTAGTGAAGTAAAAGTAAAAGTTGTCAAAAATATAAATAGTGAAGTAAAGTACAGATACCCAAAATAACTACTTAAGTAGTACTTTAAAGTATATTTTCTTAAGTACTTTACACCACTGTCAATGCGTGTTCGAGGAGCATGTATTCAATACAGGGCCAGCTCTAGCCTTTTGGGGGCCCCAAGGGATATTTGGTTAGGGGGGCCACGTCACCAAGCCGGCACATTTTTTTTTTAGCGACCCCACTCTTGACGGTGGAGAGAAAAATTTACGTTTTAAAGTACATTTCCTGTGGTTCGACACATTTTCACATGGGGGCGGAGAGAAAAGGTTGCAATTAAATCACAAATTTCATGCATTTCTTCTAATTTCCCCATGGGGCAGAGATACATTTTTGCACTTTTAAAGGAAGTTTCCTACGGTTCTACACATTCTGCCATGGGGTGGAGAGAAAATGTCACCATTTTATAACACATTTCATGCAAATCTATTCATTTTGCCATGGGGCAGAAATATTTTTTGGGCAGTTTTAAAGCTAATTTCCTGCAATTCTACACATGTTGCCATGTTAATGATATCTGAGTGACAGTGACTAACAAAGTCAATGGGAGTCCCCTGGAGGTCAGGGCCCCCTGGAGGTCAGGGCCCCCTGGAGGTCAGGGTCCCCTGGAGGTCAGGGTCCCCTGAAGGTCAGGGCCCCCTGGAGGTCAGGGCCCCTGGAGGTCAGGGTCCCCTGGAGGTCAGGGCCCCCTGGAGGTCAGGTCCCCTGGAGGTCAGGGCCCCTGGAGGTCAGGGCCCCCTGGAGGTCAGGGGCCCAGGGCACGTGCCCTGCGTGCCCAGTCGGTATTCGGCCATGATTACTACAAGTTTAGATAACTGGCTAGACTAACTTACCAATCAAACAATGGTTAGCTGGCATGGCTAATTGAGTGACTGACAGTGACTGACAAAACAAGAGGAAAACTGCTGATGCACAACCAAATTTCGAATTTGCAGCCTCTGTATTCTACTATTCTAACTGTCAACAGTTGAGACCCCGACTGAGTATATACATAATATGTATTTTTTTTTTTTTTGGGGGGGGGGGGGGGGGTCTGGGGCCCCCTAGTGCCCTGGGGCCCTAAGCAACCACTTATGTTGCTTATACCTGGAGCCGGCCCTGCACACAGACAGAGACACACACAGACACAGACACAGACACACACACACACACACACACAGACACACACACACACACACACACACCACACAGACACACACACACACACACACACACACACACACACACACACACACACACACACACACACACACACACAAACAGACACAGACACACACACAGACACACACACAGACACAGACACACAGACACAGACACACACACCAGACACAGACACACGCACACACACACAGACACACACACACACACACACACACACACACACACACACACAAACACACACACACACCAGACACAGACACACAAACAGACACACACACACAGACACCAGAGCAGCTGATCTCTCTACAGATTTACAGCACTTGCAATCTATCATATGACTCATAACAGATCATTTTGACTTTGTCTCTCTGTAGACAGTGTTCAATGTATTATATTATATTTAGCTTCTGAGACTTAAAGCAGTTATTGTACTCTTGTTGTATCCATTTTACAGGATTCAGAAAAGATTCAACGATTGTGGGATGCGATTAAAGCCCAGACAAATTATACAATCGCAGTAAGTGTTTGAATAAAACTGTTCACTGTATAAAGTTCATTTGGTAAATAAATGTTCTGTCCATAAGAAACCTCTAACTACATTAAGTTCTAAGGGTTCTTGATGTTTCGCAGGCTATCACTGGGATGGGGATAGACAATCACCTTCTGGGACTCAGAGAGATCTCACGGGAGCTCCAGATGGAGGTGCCAGAGATCTTCACAGATGAAACCTATGTGGCCAGTAACCAGTTCATTCTCTCCACCAGTCAGGTATACCCTCTAGTCATCTCTTTGCTATGTGGCTATTGCTGGTGCTGCCATAATAATAATCATAATAATAGTATAGAATATGTGCCATTTAGCAGACGCTTTTATCCAAAGTCATGCTGCATACATCTAATCTCAGTATTTGACAAGCAGCTAAATGACAAGAACATCATTTCAACCAATTGTGTTATAACTGATTATTACATATGTACATGCTCTATGAAGTAATCATGAACAGTTTATAAACTACTTATAAATCCCTACTTATAAAAGTATACCTGAGTATATCTAAGTAGATGAATGTATTAACCGGTATACCCTCCTCAGGTCCCCACCACAGTGGAGATGTTCTGCTGCTATGGCCCGGTGGTTCCTAATGGGTACGGTTGCTGCTACAACCCCCAGTCGGACCACCTCCTCTTCAGTGTGACCAGCTTCCACGGGAGCACCGAGACCTGCTCGGCCGTGTTCATCAGGGCTCTGGACGAGGGCCTCGTGGAGATGAGGGATCTGTGCAAGAAGAGCAATAAGCCTCAGAGCAACGCTGCCGCTGCTGCCTTGAAGACGGTTGAGAAAAGCCAAGGAGCAGGCAGCAAGCCTCTGAGCACACCTCGAGAAAACAGGGAAATAAGTCATACTGAGGAAGCATTACGGTGTCCATATTAGGACCACCTCAGTCACGCTCAACTTCCCACACGTTACGGTGTCCATATTAGGACCACCTCAGTCACGCTCAACTTCTGACGCATGTCCTGGTATGTCGTGAAAGTAGTCTTAGCTAGTTGTCCTGCAGTGTACATTTCGGTGTTTGTTGCGATCAAGTGTTTTGTTTTCACAACTTTATCTCTCGATTCAATCGAAAAAGATGAAGCCTTAACTATGTAACTATGTACATAAAACTATGAGGAAATACTTTAGCTGTAATGACACTAACAATAATTTAATTAGGAAGGAAACATAAAGATGTAGGAGCTATGATGTAGACACTCATTCACCATTGGTACTCTGTGGGAGTCTAGACAGAGCAGAGCTCACTGGTCTGGCAATAGGAAACTAAACTGCTATTTCAGCACTGTAGTGATGGACAGCTCCTCTTCACCCAGAGGATGAATGAACCAGCTCCTAAATGATCTCAGCGTATGTGTTCTCAACAGGCTGTTTATTCAGCTTTGTCGAAACAACTCCCAAATGTATACCGGAATATATATCGGTATCAATATATTCACATTTATCATGCAAACATTGATCATATCGTAACTGATGGGATTGAAGTCCAGATGGCAACCTAACACATAGGGAATGAGCATACGTAGGAACTAGGTTTAAGATCGTCACTATAAGGATGCTGCCGAAGAGGGGTATCTATCTAGTGAAGTCTAAAGCAGGGCACTCCAACCCTGTTCCTGGAGAGTTTCTGTCCTATAGGTTTTAACACCAACCCTGTTCCTGGAGAGCTACCGTCCTTTAGGTTTTAACTCCAACCCTGTTCCTGGAGAGCTACCCTCCTGTAGGTTTTAACTCCAACCCTGTTCCTGGAGAGCTACCCTCCTGAAGGTTTTCACTCCAACCCTAATCTAGTCACCTGATTCTAATAATTAGCTGGTTGATAAGCTGAACCAGGTTAGTTATAACTGGGGTTGGAGCGAAAACCTACAGGAGGGTATCTCTCCAAAAGCAGTGCACTGTATAGGGAATAGGGTACCATTTGGGATGCAATCTTTCTTTCCTCTCAGCCTAATGTGTGGTTCCACTCATTTCATGGAAACTATGTCTGTAGCCATTCATGTTTATCCTTAGTGATAGGGAGAGTACCGTAGTTTACTCTTAGTGATAAGGAGAGTACCGTAGTTTACTCTTAGTGATAGGGAGAGTACCGTAGTTTACTCTTAGTGATAAGGAGAGTACCGTAGTTTACTCTTAGTGATAGGGAGAGTACTGTAGTTTACTCTTAGTGATAGGGAGAGTACTGTAGTTTACTCTTAGTAATAGGGAGAGTACCGTAGTTTACTCTTAGTGATAGGGAGAGTACTGTAGTTTACTCTTAGTGATAGCGAGAGTACTGTAGTTTACTCTTAGTGATAGGGAGAGTACCGTAGTTTACTCTTAGTGATAGGGAGAGTACTGTAGTTTACTCTTAGTGATAGGGAGAGTAGTGTAGTTTGCTCTTAGTGATAGGGAGAGTACTGTAGTTTACTCTTAGTGATAGCGAGAGTACTGTAGTTTACTCTTAGTGATAGCGAGAGTACTGTAGTTTACTCTTAGTGATAGGGAGAGTACCGTAGTTTACTCTTAGTGATAGGGAGAGTACGGTAGTTCCTCTAGGATGGGAGGGGAGTGTAGTTTGCTCTTAGTGAGGGAGAGTACTGTAGTTTACCTTAGTATAGGGAGAGTACTGTAGTTTACTCTTGGATGGGGAGAGTACCGTAGTTTATCTTAGTGATAGGGAGAGTACGTAGTTTACCTTAGTGATAGGAGAGTAACTGTAGTTATTTTGATAGGGAGAGACATTCTGAGTTTACTTTGTGATAGGGAGAGTACTGTTAGTTTATCTTTGTACGGAGAGTATGTAGTTACTCTGTGGATAGGGAGAACTTGTAGTTTATTTGTGAAGGGAGAGTACGTGGTTTACTCTTAGTGATAGGGAGAGTCCCTGTAGTTTACTCTTAGTGATAGGGAAGTACTGTATTTTACCTTAGTGATGGGAGGAAAGTATAGTTGTGCTGTATCAATTGTATTTTTTTGTAGTCAATGAATGTTCAGGAAAAACCGCATACAGTATGTTGCAAATTATTTAGTAAAATAAAAAATAGTATTTATTTTTGTAGTTAAATACATTCATGAGTTTTCATCAGAAAATCTACATCATGTCCATACTTAAATTGTATTGTATGAGATATATTTATGATAATATATTGTAACCTGGAATTGTATTGTATGAGATATATTTATGAGAATATATTGTAACCTGGAATTGTATTGTATGAGAAATATTTATGAGAATATATTGTAACCTTGTGCTGTGTAGAGAATACTGCTATAAAGATTATTTATGTCCGGAAATAAAATCGATTCCAAAATATCACGTGGCTATTTCTCCTTGGAATAACACACTTAAATTCCAAGGTCTATCCTCATATATGAATGGGGGTGCAAAACAACGTGAGGCCAGTGACCCACAGGTTGCTGGGATGAATCCCCAAGCTGACTAGGTGAAAATATGTTGATGTGCCATTGAGCAAGGCACTTAACCCTAATTGCGCCTATAAGACGTTCTGAATAAGGATGTCTGCTAAATTACTAAAATATGAATAATGCTAAACTAACATACAGTACTGCACTATATAGGCTGCCATTTGGAACACAAACAGTTACATAGACAGTATCTGGGCGTTCAGTACAGTCTCTCTAATCAACATCTAGGTAGTACAGTATACTAGAATACGTCTCTAATCAACGTCTAGGTAGTACAGTATACTGTAATAAGTATCTCTAATCAACATCTAGATAGTACAGTATACTAGAATACGTCTCTAATCAACGTCTAGGTAGTACAGTATACTGTAATAAGTCTCTCTAATCAACGTCTAGGTAGTACAGTGTACTGTAATAAGTCTCTAATCAACGTCTAGGTAGTACAGTATACTGTAATAAGTCTCTCTAATCAACGTCTAGGTAGTACAGTGTACTGTAATAAGTCTCTAATCAACGTCTAGGTAGTACAGTATACTGTAATAAGTCTCTCTAATCAACATCTAGATAGTACAGTATACTGTAATAAGTCTCTAATCAACGTCTAGGTAGTACAGTATACTGTAATAAGTCTCTCTAATCAACATCTAGATAGTACAGTATACTGTTAAGTCTCTCTAATCAACGTCTAGGTAGTACAGTATACTGTAATAAGTCTCTAATCAACGTCTAGGTAGTACAGTATACTGTAATAAGTCTCTAATCAATGTCTAGGTAGTACAGTATACTGTAATAAGTCTCTCTAATCAACGTCTAGGTAGTACAGTATACTGTAATACGTCTCTCTAATGAACGTCTAGGAAGTACAATATACTGTAATAAGTCTCTAATGAACGTCTAGGTAGTACAGTATACTGTAATAAGTCTCTCTAATTAACGTCTAGGTAGTACAATATACTGTAATAAGTCTCTCTAATCAACGTCTAGGTAGTACAGTATACTGTAATAAGTCTCTCTAATGAAGGTCTAGGTAGTACAATATACTGTAATAAGTCTAATCAACGTCTAGGTAGTACAGTATACTGTAATAAGTCTAATCAACATCTAGGTAGTACAGTATACTGTAATAACTCTCTCTAATTAACGTCTAGGTAGTACATTATACTGTAATAAGTCTCTTATCAACATCTAGGTAGTACAGTATACTGTAATAAGTATATCTAATGAAGGTCTAGGTAGTACAATATAATGTAATAAGTATATTGAATGAACGTCTAGGTAGTACAATATACTGTAATAAGTCTCTAATGAACGTCTAGGTAGTACAGTATACTGTAATAAGTATCTTGAATGAACATCTAGGTAGTACAGTATACTGTAATAAGTATCTCTAATGAAGGTCTAGGTAGTACATTATACTGTGATAAGTCTCTCTAATGAACGTCTAGGTAGTACAGTATACTGTAATAAGTCTCTAATCAACGCCTAGGTAGTACAGTATACTGTAATAAGTCTCTCTAATCAACGTCTAGGTAGTACAGTATACTGTAATAAGTATCTCTAATCAACATCTAGGTAGTACAGTATACTGTAATACGTCTCTAATCAACGTCTAGGTAGTACAGTATACTGTTTTAAGTCTCTCTAATCAACGTCTAGGTAGTACAGTATACTGTAATAAGTCTCTAATCAACGTCTAGGTAGTACAGTATACTTATACTGTAAGTAAGTCTAAGCAACATCTAGTTAGTAAGTATACTGTAATAAGCTCTCTAAAATGAAAGTCTAGGTAGACACTACTGTAATAAGTCTCTTATCAACATCTAGGTAGTACAGTATACTGTAAAAGTATATCTAATGAAGGTATAGGTAGTACAATATATGTAAAAAGTATATGAATGAAGTCTAGGTAGTTAGTACATATACTGAATAAGGTCTCTAATGAACGTCTAGGTAGTACAGTCTAATGTAATAGTCTCTCTAAGGGAATGTCTAGGTTAGTAGTAACGAGTATATGTAATCGTCTATAATCAAACGCCTAGGTAGTACAGTATACTGTAATAAGTCTTCTAATCAACGTCTAGGTAGTACAGTAATACTGTAATAAGGATCTATAATAAATATAGGTAGTACAGTATACCTGTAATAAGTCTCTCTAATGAACGTCTAGGTAGACATATACGGATAAGTCTCATAATGAACATCTAGGTAGTACAGTATACTGTAATAAGTCTCTAATCAACGTCTAGGTAGTACAGTATACTGTAATACGTCTCTCTAATTAGCGTCTAGGTAGTACAATATACTGTAATAAGTCTCTAATCAAAGTCTAGGTAGTACAGTATACTGTAATAAGTCTCTCTAATCAACGTCTAGGTAGTACAGTATACTGTAATAAGTCTCTCTAATCAACGTCTAGGTAGTTCAGTATACGGTAATAAGTCTCTCTAATCAACGTCTAGGTAGTACAGTATACT